GCAGGGGGGTTCTCCTTTTAGTTTTGATTTATAACTGAGTCGTTAACCTGGTTTTTTTTATTATAATAGTAATTCTAAAAGGTTCCTTAGTTTACTAACGATATTTTACTGAAACATTGAAGAACTAATTACACATATGGATGTATCATATATTACAGTGAACTTCGGTCGACAGAAACGTAGAGGAATCGTCGAGAACAATATAGGAAGAATAACAGCTGAGACACCAGAAACTTGCCAGACGATATGCCTAACCACACCAGCGTGTCGATCGGTGGATTATGCCAGGAAAGACAAGCGGTGTTACTTGAATAAAGTTAATCATACAGAGCCTAGAGCTAAACTTGAAGTGTTTGAGAATATAGACTATTATTATCCAGTTTGTATGTGTTAGTTATTTCGGAAAATCGTGAGAATCACGAGTTTTTCAAACTAACGTTACAAAGCATGAAACACCATTTATACTGTAAAGGGCCTGATATGTTTCGTCAGCCCCTGGAAAAAGAGAACGAGTTAGGTCCATTGTATTGAAAAGTGTTTTGATTCATACCTTTTAAAGTCGTTCTCTTGCCTATATTTTCATAGTTTTGGGGCTTTAAAGAGTAAAAGAGGCGTTTTCAGTCATATATTTCGACAATAAAGAAGCTTATAAAGTAGAATTTCCTCTCTACATTCCATACTTCTTACAATTCTAATTATGTATTCTATTTTTGTAACAGAGTTAATACTTAACTTTTCTGCTAGGATAAGAATCGTTTTAGTAAGTTAAATTTTGTTTGGATAATTTTTTTATAGTATGTAGGTTTTAAAGTTCCAAAATAAATTTGAAAAGCATCCTTTTTTTTTGTTGTTGTTGTTGTTAGAGTCGTAATATTTGTTAGTGGTTTTATGGTACATTTTTGAAATGATACAAAAAACGAATGGAGAATGATTCCTTCAGGGCAGTGCACGCGCTTCAGAGTCCCAGGAACTTAGTCACATATACATCCCACCTGTCTCGACTGTACGCGAGTTAGTAAGAACTGTCACAAAAGATACATCCAACAAGAGGCAGTAATTAGTAAGAGGCCCCCCAGTGGCACAGCGGTATGTCTGTCGACTTACAATACTAGAAACCTTTTGTGTAGCTTTGTGCTTATCTTCAAAGAAACAATTAGTAAGATCTGTCAACTAATGATACATCCAACAGGAGTCAATGATTAGTAAGAGCTGTCAGTGAAGAAACATTCAACAGGAGTGAGTGATTAGTAAGAGCTATCAGTGAAGAAACATCCAACAGGAGTCAGTGATTAGTAAGAGCTGTCAGTGAAGAAACATCCAACAGGAGTCAGTGATTAGTAAGAGTTATCAATGAAGAAACATCCAACAGGAGTCAGTGATTAGTAAGAGCTGTCAGTGAGAAAACATTCAACAGAAGTCAGTGATTAGTAAGAGTTATCAATGAAGAAACATCCAACAGGAGTCAGTGATTAGTAAGAGCTGTCAGTGAGAAAACATTCAACAGAAGTCAGTGATTAGTAAGAAAAGTGAATAAAGATACATCCAACAGGAGTCAATGATTAGTAAGAGCTGTCAGTGAGAAAACATTCAACAGAAGTCAGTGATTAGTAAGAAAAGTGAATAAGAAAACATCCAACAGGAGTCAGTGATTAGTAAGAGCTGTCAGTAAGAAAACATCCAACAGGAGTCAGTGATT